TTATGAATTTATTTAATTTATTTACTTATTGTAATAATTTTACATACGATGTACGAGAGTGAGATTTCATTACGGGACGATGATTACATTTGATTGGCTGATTATTAGTTACGGGATGGAATTATTAGTTATGATTGGTTATGAATTATTGCGGGTTTTGTTAATTCTATAAATACCCAGATGCTGAATATCGTTTGCTCTCTTGTTTTCTTTGTGACCTAGGGAAAGGTTGCCAGTTTTGTCCAGAGTAATTTAAGGTGTGTACTAGTTCAGTATCTTTGTGACTGAAGTACATAATACATAATGTTAGGTTAGGCTAAATTAATTATTACTAGTAATTGTACTAGTTTTAGTTTTAGTTATTTTTATCTTCTTTAGCCCAGTTTAGGAGTTAGGAAATATTTCTGCTGCGTGCTAGTAGTTGAACTAGTAGCGTATTTATTTGTAAATTAATTATAAGTCATTTATAGAGAGCCTTTACGTTTTAAATTTCTAAAATTAAATTTACTGGAAATAGTGCCAGTTGCCCAGTTCTATATCAGTAGTTCCTACTGATTTTGGTCTTATCTATGTCCCGAGGGTTGAGACTTGTGTGAATTTCAAACATTGTTATTTATTTTCGCTGTTCATGTATTACTGAATAAAATTATAAAACTTTACACCGAAGTTTTTGTTCTCAACACAAGGCAGGCGTTCCGAAGCGTTACACAAGTAAAAATCAAGCATGGAATTGGACTTCCGAATGTGATGAAGCATTTAATCACCTGAAATCAAAGTTAGTGAGTGCACCTATCCTAAGTTACCCGGATATAAACGGAGGAGTTTTTATTTTGGATACGGATGCCAGCAATGACGCAATAGGAGCAGTGTTATCACAGATTCAGGACGGACAGGAAAAAGTGATAGCCTACGGAAGTCGTACTCTTACAAAAGCTGAGAGAAATTATTGTATTACGCGAAAAGAAATGTTAGCACTTGTTTACTTCATAAAACATTTCAAACATTACTTGCTTGGACGAGAATTCATTCTGAGGACAGATCATGGATCACTTGTGTGGCTACATAAGTTTAAAGAACCTGATGGACAGATCGCTCGTTGGCTTCAACAACTAGCTTCATATACGTTTCAAATTCAGCATAGGCCTGGAAAACGCCATGGAAACGCGGACGGATTAACTAGGATTAATACCCAGAATGGACAATGTAAACAGTGCAAAATGAATGTGAAAGAGGAGCCAAGTGATACAAAATATTATCACATAGAGGACTTGCGGAAATTAGCTAACAGTGAAGATCACGAGTCTTGTAATTACGTGTGTGACATTAAAACGCTATTTCCAGAAACGGATCAGGAAACGAATCTGTGCTATTTAAGTGATAATTCGCAACCTCACAGGACCTCGAAACGTATTCCAAATCGACCTGTACAAGCTAAACCTAGGAAACAACCTGAAACATCGTTGTGTTTAGACAATATTAGAGAACTTCAGTTGACTGATGACAATATATCACCATTTCTTAAGTGGAAAGAAGACCCGGATTTTCCAAAACCAGCAATAGATTCAGTATCAAGTCTTGGTTTTGAGAGCAAATTTCTCTATTCACGATGGGAATTACTGACTGTAAACCAAGGTGTTTTGTGTATTAAATGGATTGAGGACAGCACAGAACGCTTAAGAATCGTAGTGCCTCGGAAATTACGAGATGCTGTAATGTGGAATTTTCATGATGCTGTGACAGCTGGGCACTTAGGAGTAAGACGCACATATGAAAAACTTAACAGAAGCAATTATTACTGGCCTCATTTACGGAGATATGTTCAGGATTATATTTCTTCGTGTGATATTTGTGAGGAACGGAAAAATCCATACAGGAAGAAAAGGAGCTATATGAAAACTTATGTGAGTGGTGTTAAATTCGAAAGAGTTGGTGTGGATATAGCTGGACCGTTTCCGAAATCAGCAAATGGATTCGTATATATTCTAGTGCTTTCGGATTATTTCACTAAATTCATGGAGATATTTCCCCTCAGGAATATTGAAGCCGAAACAGTAGCTGAAACTATGTTTAGAGGATGGATTAAACGCTACGGATGCCCCCAAGAAATACACTCAGACCAAGGTGCCCAATTTGAGAGTCAGTTATTTCGGGAAATGTGCAAATTCCTGCAAATCAACAAAACACGCACCACGTCTTATCATCCGCAATCTGATGGAATGATTGAAAGACTAAACAGGACCATCAAAGATATGCTATCTAAGTATATTTCAGCGAATCAAACAGACTGGGATAAATTCATAGATGGTATTGTGTTTGCGTATAATAGCACTGTACATGAATCAACTGGACTAACACCGTACAGAATGGTATTCGGCGAGGAAATGACTCTTCCAGTAAATCTAATGACAGAAAATTTGGATAGTGACGAAGAGAGAATGTTCGGAAATACAGCGGAATATGTGCGTAATCTAGAGAAAAATCTGTGTGAAATGTATGACATTGTGAGAACTACAACTAATCAAAGTTCTGAGAGACAAAAACGAGCTTACGATCGGAATGTTCGTTCTATTAATTATGAAGTTGGAGATTTAGTTCGCCGGAGCCAGCCTAAAGTTGCTGTCGGATGTAAAACTAAACTAGCCCGAAGATGGACAGGACCTTGGATTGTTGTCAAAAGACTCAGTGATGTTTTATTCCAAATAAAACATTCAGAGAAATCAAAACCAGTAGTCGTCCATTCAGACAATATCAAACTGTATCGAGGGAATAAACAATACCCGTCAAAACAAAGCCCCGAATACACGCGTGACCAGCCGGAGAGAGCACCCGCTACGCATCGCCGCGCTCGATTCAGCAGACGGAAGCAAAACGCTTTGAAGACGCCGCCAGTACGTCCACCCGTCGCAGACGCCAGACTTCAGTCACCAGCCGCCAGCCAATCAGATTCCGAGTTGGAGAATGACACGCCCCAGATTCCCCCGACCCAGACAACCAGGCACGGGAGGATTATAAAAAGACCGCTTCGCTTCAGAGACAATCACTTGTAATTATAATTAATATGCGTTGTGATATCTGTGGGAAAATATTTTCAAGAGCCAGCAACCTTAACTTACACGTGAAAGAACAACATGCATCTGATCTTGAGTGTTTAAAGTGTAACTTTTGCCAGAGGACATTTACCAGAATCTATAACTTACGGAGACACTACAGACTTGTTCACAAACTAGATGGGACCACATTGAGTGAAGCCATGGATCGGAAACGATATTCGGTGAAAAGACAAAGTTACGAAGAGGCTCAGAAACCTGTGTACGTTTTAAGCGAACAGTACGAGAACATTTCCTCCGACGAAGAATTTACCACAGAGAATGACAGAGATGAACAGCCAAAACAGCAAAGTGAGCTAGATTTCTTAGAAGATATTTCGTTGGATTCGGGTGATATACCATCAGACGACTTTGTGAGGGACTTGTTGGACGCCGAGCACCTGACTCGATCTGAGGAGGAGGACATAGACGATGAGGGATGTAATGAAACCCCCGAGAGTCGCGTGGATTACGAAACCATGTCCGAGCGTGAAGAAAGTGACAATGAACACAACAGTGTGACACAAGTTAAATCAACGATTTGCTTGATTCTTAACAAAGTCACAACCTTTCCCGATGGAAAAATTGAAGTAAATAGAGATTCTCAAATCTTATATTCGGAAGACATTAATCCGGAAAATGTGGACTTTAATTCTGTGGCCAGTGAAGTATTCGAGGAAGTGAAAGAACATTGCCGAGATTAGGGAAAACGCGTGTTATGAGAGGAGACTTTTCTATGTAAATGTGACTTTGTAAATATCGACTTGTGTATATTTTATTATTTATTTGTGTTTTATATGCTATTGATTGGGCAGCACTGATAATTATTTTTAAATACGTGATATATTTCTTTTGTACGGAACCAAAAGCTAAGAAGGGGGAAGTTGTAAAGTCGTGATTTAATATTATATTATTTTAATTATCTGTAATTAGTCTGTCATTATTTCCTTTAGAGCCCTATGTTATATTATGTTTATTTATAGTACGGATACCCGTTGCTCCTTGTGAGCAGCGGCTGTGTAACTTATGTAACTGACCCAGTTAAGAGCGTTGCTCTTCGTGAGCAGCCTACTTTATATATATATATATATACAGAAAGTTTTTATATAGAATAGAATAAGTAGATGCATAGGAGAAGTATAATAGATACAGATGTAGAGATAGAGTTTATTGAATTTGGTCAGTGCTGTTCGAGGATATTTTATTTTGTGCATTCTGTTGGACTATTAAAATCTGAGATCATGTAAATAAATTGTAAAACTATAACTAGGTGTTTTCACTGAAGCAACACTTCATTGAGGAAGCATGGATTAATTATTAACTTAATTCCACTGGATTAAAATATTGTGTGCCGTTTACCGCTCGACGGCGCTACAATTATCCATGAGTTATGGTACTCTGACAATCCCTCTTTGTGATGTTCATAAAAAAGATATCTTTATCTGGTTCTTCTACGTCATTTCACTTTGTGTTAAATATGTTGTATTGTATTATAGTTTGCATGAACTCTATTTCTTGTATTTACTGGTAAATGACATTGTTTGCTTGTAAATAATTATTCTCACATATATATGTCATATTAAGAGTTCTTACAACAATAAGCAGGATTTGTGAAAAGTTCCCTCACTTATAAATACATGTACCCCATGTCTTTCTTGCAAAAATAAGGCGTCACAAAAATTTGTTGATCTACAGTATTTATTCTTTCTAACAAGGGTTAGATTTTTAAGTATGTTAATATGTTTTGTTTATGAATATGGAAATGTATATGGAAAATATTAAATGTAAAATTTACAAAGAACAAAACTTAAGAGTTTTTATTTTTTAATGTATATGAACTTTTGTGTCTAGTATACATAACATATAAATTATACAGATTACCCATTATTATTTGCTCAAAATACTAGTAGTTTATAAAAATTATGAATTAACCGAAAAAAAATAAGTCTGCTCTCGTGATGAATGATCAAACCATTTGAGAAAGAACAACATTAAAATAAACAGCTTACATTAACAACACCAACTTATATTACTTTGGTAGCATTAACAAATTAGAAAAGTGAACATTAAATGTCCTTTAAATTATCCATCAATGGCTGAAAATTAACACCGTAGGGTTTAAAACAACATGTTTTAAATGATGACAACAAAATATTTGAAAGAAAACATGAAATCAATATTAATGTGTATATTTTATCATACAATGAACACAACTACTGAATTTGTGATAGTTTGGACCAGTCGTAATATGTGTATGCTGGGGTGTAATCCATCTCTCCCGTCGTGTGCTCTGAGTCCTCTTCTTCACGGATGTTAGTTTTACCAAACAACCACTCACTGTAGCTTGGCGTTGCTGTAAAAAAATCATCAAAATCAAAGGATCTTAATGTGTGAATACTGGGTACGTGTTTTGTCTGACAGCACCTCTTGAACAGCATTTCTTTGACAATGCTTCTCTTTGGTGATAATGAAATTCATTAGCATGCCTTTTGTTAGTATTTTATTGATAAATCATAATACAATTAATCATTCCTTGGTGCTTAGAATTATATTACATGACAGCAGCCATGCCAATGAATTTTCCTATTTAAACTTATTTATAACCCATGGGGTCATAATTTGAACGATCTTGAATCTACACAATGTGAGGATGCTTCCATTTCAAATTGACTAATTTTGCCTTTGCTATTCTTCAGAAGAAGATTTTTAAAGATTTTTTCTAATATATTCTTATGTAAAACTGTTGTCTTTAATTGTGGTCCCACCCTACTCCCTGGGATCTTTATCAGTACAAACTTGAATCTACACTACCTGCAAATGCTTTCATATCATTAAGACTAATAATAATAACATGACTGTTATTCTTGAGAAGAAGAATTATAAAGATTTTTTCTAATACATTCCAACGTAAATCGCTAATACCTTTTAGTGGCAACACCCTACTCCCTAGGGTTATGATTTGTAAAAACTTGAATCTACACTATGTAAAAAGATTTTCTAAGTTTTAACTATTTTGGTCCGATGGTTCTTAAGAAGATTTTTAAAACATGCCACCAAATTTTCATTTTTTCCTAATTATCTCCCTTGAATGAGGGTGTGGCTCTTTATTTGAACAAACTTGTCCTTTACTCAGTGTTGCGGAAGGTTTAGTTGAAATTGGCCAAATGGTACTAGAGGAGGAATGAAAAAATGTGAAATGTTTACAGACGGACGGACAGCTTGACAAACAGACGGACTTCAGACAAAATGTGACAAGAGAAGATCACTAGAGCTTTCAGCTCAGGCGAGCTAAAAAGAAAACAAGAGGCCCATGGGCCAAAACCTAACTGGAGTACCCATGGCTCTTCTGTTACTAGCAGACCCCCTATCACATTCCTATGTAAAATTAAGGTAATATAATGGCTTTGTTCTACCCTTAACCCCACCTTACCCTAAGGTGTCATGATTTATACAACTTGAATCTGAGGATACTTCCATATATATAATTAATCCTGGCTTATTGTCCATAGAGGCCCCACCCTATTCCCAAGAGGCATGATTAAAACAAACTTAAACCTTCACTTCTTAAGGATATTTACAACTAAATATGATTAATCATTACCTTCATGTTATTGATAAGAAGAATTTAACAGATTTTTCCAAATTTTCCCCATGTTGCCATGTTAATCTTTGATTGCTCACAGTGGTCCCAACCTTCCTTTGGGGTCATGTTTTGGACAACATTGAATCTGCACTACTTGATCATGCTTTCACCTTAAAACATGTATATGGTTAATCATGACCTTGCTGTTATTGAGAAGAGGAATTTAAAAAAAAAACCAAGTATTTCTATGTAAAATAGTAGCTAGCCCCTATCTACAGGGGTCATGGTTTGGATAAATTTGAATCTAGTCTTTGTCAGAAAGTTTTCATATAAGTTTCATCTTTTCTGCCCCAGTGCTTCTTGAGAATATATGATTTTTAATGAACCCAACAGTTTTCAGTATTTCTACATTACATGTACCCTCCCTTGGAAGAGTGTGTAGCCCTTCATTTGAACAAAATTTAATCAGACCCCTTTACGCATGGATACTCTGTGATTTAAATTTGCAATGTGGTTCTGGAGAAAATAAAAATATATATGAAAAGTTTACAATGATAGCAACAATGGAAAAAATTTAATCAGAAAAGCTCACTTGAGCCTTTTGCTAAGGTGAGGTGAAAAAATATGCTTTCTCATCATATGATCATAAGAGTTCCTCCCTAACACACTCGTGAGCCCCTGATCCTGAGACCATGAATTTCAAATTTATGGTACTGAACTTCATGCTTATAAATTACCATGATGACAAAAGTTAATTTGCTTGATATCAAGTAGAAAAAAGAAGATTTTTAAATATTCTATTAAATTTAATCATTTTAATCTCAGGGACCATAAATTTCAAAATGTTGGTTCAGTTTTATTTATAGATGCTATATACTAAAATCGTTTGAAATTGGTTCAGAACTTGGGAGAAGTTGAAAATGTTTAAATGTTAAGAAATGACAAACAACGCATGGCAAAAGGCAAAAACGAAAAGCGATTGGTCATCTGAGTGTCTCAGATCACCAAATAGAATGCAAACACTGAAAGAAAATTTTCATCAAATTAAGCAATAGGCCAAATATTTATCAATTTGATCCACGGGTCAGTCTATTCACCAGCTTTTGAGTTTTGAATACCTTTTTAATGTACATAAGTAAAAAAAAATTGGCTGCATTTTTTAATAAATAAAATTTAAAATAAAAACATGCACAGATCTGTTCCCACATTTAAAATACTCACAAAGATCTGACAGCTTTTGAATACCTTTTTAATGTTCATAAGTAAAAGAAAAATTGGCTGCATTTTTTATAAATAAAATTTAAAATAAAAACATGAACAGATCTGTTCCCACATTTAAAATACCCACGCAAATCTGACATTAGTGAAGCGCCTTCTACTGGGGGAGCTGACGGTGCTGGCCCAGGGGCAGGTAATGCTGGTTGTTGAGGAGTCGAGATTCCATACTGTGCTTGGTACTGTTGAACAACTGTCCGAAGGGGTGTTGTACCAATGATGATCAATAATGGAACGCAAAGGCTTGTGGCAGGCCAAGGGGGTTCAACAATCAACTACATAATTAAAATAAAAGATATCCAGTGTAAATACATGAAATAATATCACTGCATCACATTACTTCTCTGAACCCTTATTACTGTATATAGTGTTATATGTGTGCTCAAGGTTTTAGGGTTCGATGTATTTTATTGCATTTTTAAACAGTACTGTAAATCACTTTACCTTTATGACACCTTTTTTGAAAGATATTCATGAACACTTTATTAGCAAAAAAAAAAAAAGACAAATATAGTTATTGCTCTATATATTCTTAAGGAATAATATACTGTAGAAGTACTTTTTTCCGCGTGGTATTAATTTACGCTATGTACGCGGTCACAAATTTTCCGCGGATATTTGTCCAAGCGTACTTAACATAAATGTAAGGGATATAGCGACAATCTAGAAAACCCGCGTAATTTTCTACCCGCGGATTAAAAAGAAATTGAGATTCCGCGGAATTATGACCCCGTGGAAAAAAGTACGTCTACAGTAAGCAAGAATCAAAGTTTAGTAAGCACACTGCCTCACATAATTACACGAGAAATAAAGTTGTCGTGAATAGAAAGTGATCAACAGTGCACAAATGTTTCTTTGAAAATTGTCATACATTAAAAAATGATACATATTTACATTTATACCAAAAATCAAGAACTTTTATTCTTCATGTCACCTAATTTCATAAAATAATTGAAAATGAATACTTTCTGCTACCAAGGTAATTAAAACAGCACATATACATTTTTTCTTAAATCTCTTTATTTAATATATCTTCAGAATACCTCAAAAAAGTAATTTATATCGATAATCTTGCATCCAACAAGAAATGATGGAGGTAAGGGTGGTATAACAAGACTGTCCCCTGACCATGTTTCTGTTTCCCCGGGCTGAATGTCTTGGTGGACTACTCTTGCTATCTCAGAAGTTGTTGTTTTGGATTTTGTTGTAGCATGAAACACAGTGGTCTAAAACATTGACAATAAAGACAAGATCAAAAAATTCAAATTGTATCAAAAGCATCATTAATAACACATAAATAGAAACAATATGTGCCAGTGTAACACGAACACCCTCAATGAAAGCAAGTTAAAATATTCGAAAGACTATAGGCTTGTGAATTTAATTAAAGTATGGAAATGGCAGGGATAAGTGTGACTGAAAGTTGGTACAGACAAACACACAGATAAACATCAAGCTGACATCTGATCCATACAAAAATTAATCCAACCATATGAAATCCTAAAACAAAGAGCGTGCAAAAACTTAAAACACCTGTAATGAGTAGTTGCTGAGAAAAATGCAACGGAAATATGATACGGACAGATGCAGGGAAAACAGGAAGTTGATATTGATTCATACAAAAATAAATCCCACCATATGTCATGTCTAAACAAAGAGTGTGCTAAAATTTAAAGCATCTGCCTTGAATAGTTGCTGAGAAAACTGCGATGAACTCTATAATGGGGGTATAATAAAAATAAAGAAATTACCGAAAGAACAAGGTTAAAATCAATCAGTTTCCCAGTACTTCAATACTGTAAATTATATTAACCCACCATGTATAGTTTGACATGCACTCCACAGACACTGCTGGTCATGTTTTGTATTTCTGCGTTGAAGGTTATTGCTTCTCCAGGAACATATCCCACTCTGTCCAGTTTTAACATTCCTGTTATTGGTCCCGACTTACAGCACAGACAACATAGGAATTTACTTTGTTGGTTTCGAGTCCAACACTGAATTATAAAAATAAAAATATTTGAATTAATTTCCACACACCTCTAATAAATTCAAAAATATCGTAAGAAATACATGAATCAAATTATTTCATTTCTAAAAGATTGTTTTTTGCAATTCCATTAGATTTAAGCTAGTTACAGAACTCTAACTCTCTCTGGTGGAGGAAATTCAGATAGACAAACCAGAGCTACATATACAAAATCTTGTACGTGAAGAGAAGAAGACACTTCCTGTGGCCTTCAACTCGACATTTAAATATATCGACAACGTATTGTCAATTAACAATGGTTATGTCCATTCTTATGTTGATACGATATATACCGGTGAGCTTTTTATAAAAAACACACCACAGAATCTGACACTTCTGTTTCATATTTAGATATTTTACTTGAAAAAACCGTTAATGGTAATCTAACAACCATGCTTTATGATAAACATGATGGCTTTAACTTTTCAATCGTCAGCTTGCCTTACTTTTGCAGCAATATATTTTCATCACCTGCATACGGAGTCTATATATGCATCTCTCAGTTGATTCGACACGCAAGAGCATGCTCAACGTATGAACAATTTCTTAAATGAGGTAAATTATTGACAAACAAGTTGATAAAACAAGAATATCAACAGTCTCGTTTAAAGTCAACATTTCGTACGTTCTATGTCGGTACAATGACCTTGTCAGCAAATACAATTTATCATTGAGTCAAATGCTGACTGACGTTTTTCATACCAATTTTAAGTCCATTATTTATACACTGAATTGACGACGGATTTTTCCCGATCATGACAAGGAGCACACGGCGGGTGCGAAGGGTCGGCAGGGGATGCTCACTCCTCCATGGCACCTGATCCCACCTTTGATGTTTTAGAGGTCCCTGTTTGCTCTGCTCCTATTTTGTATTGTGACTTTTGAGCTTGAGTACTGTATGTTATTTCCAAACATTTTATTCAAGCATTGTAAAAGCAGTAAGTGTAAGTTCAATTTGTTGTAATGCTTAGTCACTAACTTCTGGTATTTTTCTTGTATTATATGCCTTCCCCACCAAAAGCATGTTATCCGTTAAGTAACGGCATATTTTACTCATAATCATTTATTTACCTTTTGTAAAGTGATATTTCAACTTCTTTTCTTGTTATATCAGGTTTGCCAAATATTTACAATTTCAAAATTACCTAACAATGTTGGTAAGATACGATATGTTAAATCACTTTAAAGCATTGTTTTGACAAATATATTGCTTAACAGATACACATGTACATACAGCTGAATTTGGTTGTGTGTTCAAATCTAACAATGCATTGACAGTGAAAGGTCTCTTGGTAGTATAGTCAAATTTCCAAGGCTTGTAAATGGTTCCTTTAATGGTGTATCTCACGTAACCAACTTCACCTTCAAAGGTTGATGGGAGATTCGGGGGCAACTGGAAGGAGAAAGGATATGCGTGCTGTCCAGGGGGCAAGCGGTTATCATCACTCATTCCCATACCTGTGGGAAAAAGAATAACATATTCTCTACAGGCTGATATTTTTAGTACAAAATTGCTACAGATTTCAATACTGTACGTTACGTCAGTATTTAGTGACTTTATATGGACACACAACGTCCTTTCTCATTACTAACACACTAAGGTATGACAACAAGCATATCATACACTACAAAAGAATGAGAAGCATGTTTAAAAGTTATGTAAAGATTGATAAATGTGTAAGCAACAATGGGGGTTGAACTGTGAACACCTAGTGCAGTACTTGAATGTTTTTTTAACTTAGCACCACTCCCACCTTGTGTAGGTTAGGAAGTGGGTCGTGAAAGTTCTTACACAAACCCAGTACAGATATAAGATTCAGAACACAAAAATATGTTTAGTCAACTCAAGTTTATTGTTGCCTAATGACATCTGAGAATGTTGAACCTTAAAGTTAATTCTCCTCATATAGTCACTAATCCAAAAAATAGCTTGAAACAGTTACCCAGAGCAATTTTGGGTAGAACAAAACATTTATACAAGGATTGGCAATGTCCCTGAAATATTACTTAATTAAAACATTCTTTAAGAAAATTCATGAGGCTACTGCCATGATAAGGTTACTGCCATGAAAGTCTAAAAAGGTCATGTATATATATATATATATATATATATATATATATATATATATATATATATATATATTTCATATATTGAATAGAAACTTCATACTATCTTAACTATCAATTGGATAGCATATAAGATAATAGAAACATGCAAAACACCCAACAAAACCAGACCTTGAACTTGCCACAACCCCTCCCCCCCCCCGGTTCCTACAACCATGAATAAAGAAATACATGTACATGTGTATATTTATACCCAATGCACATTGTATTTAAAGATTAATTCATATATATATATATATATATATATATATATATATATATATATATATATATATATATATATATATATATATATATATATATATATATATATATATATATATATATATATATATATATCAGAAGTCCATGAATTCACAGTGGTCAGTATAGTTGTATAGTAAAAATAAATCAAATAGAAAACACGAAGACAACAAAGTAAAGCATTAGCGCTTTCATTTCAAAATCTTCAGATGCTTTACCTTGTAGTAATTTATTTTTACTATATATATATATATATATATATATATATATATATATATATATATATATATATATATATATATATATATATATATATATATATATATATATATATATATATATATATATATATATATATTATTTGACGTCATACATATATATAAATCTTCTCAAGAACAGCAAAGCCATGATTAGTCATATGAATACTAAAGCATCCCCATGTATTGCGTATTAAAAAAAATCATTAAGCATTCTAGATAAAAACACCGAAGTCAATATTAGTCATATTAATATATAAACATATCTGTTCAAGTCGTCACTTCTGCGGGTAGAGTTGGACTACATGTATCTATTGAAAATTTCAGAACCTTACTAATTTCTACTTTTCTCCAACTAAAGAGCTCAAGTAAGTGATGTGGACCATTGGTCTCGTTTTTGTTTTGATGACACTGGATTGAACTTTTGTTTATTCTTTGAAGTATAAAGGATTCACTCCTGTCAAGTAAGCTTTTTAGAAAAGCTAATATTTGTTAAGGTTAAATTAGGCTTAAAAAAGTCTTCCAAACTACCACCTTCTCCAAACAAAGGTTGAGAATGCTCAAAGTACTTCTCGGATGCGCTGTAAGTGCTTGTCTGATAGTGTCCTGACGAGTTCTGTTGGGTGTAATACCAATATACATGTGCTAGTCCTTTGAATGTCAAGCTTATTTCTGAAATGATATTAAAGAAATACACTGCAATTCAAATGACAATAAATCACATACTCCTTGTCCAAACACAAGAACAACTTGATGAAAGTAGTTCTCTGTAGCGCTGTATAATGCCTTGTTGTGATCCGTCTTTTCCTCTTCTATGACTGTGTCTCCAATGCACATAAGCCAACCCTTTAAACGTCAATCATATTTCTAGAATAATAAAACGTGTACATTGTCTAATCTAAGATATAATAAGATATACAAAACAGGTATTGATTCATTGTAATATATCACTGCTATATTTCAGATTCAGAAATATTTTTCTACGGATCATGGTAGTTAATTTATTACAAAAATCACTTTTAAAGCATGTTCTAATAAATAGCTAGTAATTCTGATTAAATTTTATTCAGTGGATAGAGGGGGTGAGGATGAATACTTATCAGTTAATCAAACTGATGCATCTTTTTGTATGTAATCAGTCTTTTACGGTGATTTTCAGCAAATCAGCAAAATATATTGATTTGCTCTTCTGTAGTGAAAACTCTATAGAAGTGTGATATACACCAATTTGGAACATCAAGCAATTTCTTTTGATAATAAAAAAAGTTTTAATGTGTTCCAATTTTTTTTCAAAATAATGAATATTCATAACACAACTCAGTAAAAGTTATATACATATATATAACGAAGCGGGGTCTAACTTATACAGGAAAGAGTAACTAGTTTTTATGACGTCAACATGCGAGAGTTGGTTGGATCAGTTAGTTTTAGAACACATTTTTGAGTACTGGCCTATGTATACATTACTGGAATAAAGCAGATCCTATGATTTCCTGGAATTGTTTCTTCTCTCTGAAAAATGTTTTTTCCAAGGCTGGAAAATGAACCAAATCAAAGTGTGACAGTTCTGACGAATATTATTGGTGTGACAAAACAATAACTTTCTGTTTATACCCAAAACTCCTTTACTCTTTATGGCGTGTTGGTTTGGACGCTGTAATGAAGAAATTAAACGTAGTGGATTCCTCATTCTGGGTCCATCCTCTCATAAATCTTCCGATTTTTTTCTTACAAAAATTTGCTTTCTAGACTTCCCTAGAAATTTAACTGCCTCCCCGAATAAGAATTTGAACAACAAGACCACAAATTTTTAAGAAAATGGCATACAGAACTGTTTTTGTTTTTGCAATTCTTTGCTCTTCTCAGACCTTGGCTGTTTTTGTCAATTGCATCTTGTTGCAAATTTGTTTAGGGATTTAATGCAATGGATTCAAGTTTCACTAACTGTTTGAATTCCAAACAAAGTGGATAACTGCATTTTTTTGTTTTTTAATTTAATTGTAATATAAATAACAACCAATGTTCAGATATTCTTGTTCGCTTTCATTTTCACTCATATTTCAAAATATATGGTGACCATTGAGCACTAAGCTTATTACTGTCAAATATTTCTTTAAAACTGTGTTAACTACCCAACAATTATGCCTATCAATTTTTCTATGTGTCTTAAACGCAGTCAAGCATCATCAGTGACATTTGTTGAATTTTGGCAAGCAGCCTACATAGGTTGTTGTTAGTCTTTTTCGCCAAAGGTACCCATTTTTGACGCCCATTATATCAATTTTGTTCAATGAAATCCACCTGCTCATGTGTCTAAAAACAAACATTGTTTGCTGCAAATTTCACATATTTTAGTAAATATTTCTTTGGGGTTCCTAACGAGTTTAACAGAAGCTTTCATGAAGCATTTAATTTCACTCTAGTTTACTGATTCTAGACCATTCATTTATAATGCAGTGTCTCGAATAGCCCTTATTTTCCAGCTTCTCACAATGAAAGTACATGTCTGTGGTGAAAAGTGGTCACATCAACTGTAATCAATTTATTAAAGATTCAATTATAAGAGATATTCAAGCTAAATGTCATATGATTTCTATTTTGTATTTCATAAAGCTCAGGACATTATTTATTGAACAGACCTAGAATTTAGTTTTGTAATGCTTTAGACCGTGGATATCGTTCTAGATAGCTCAATTCGTAGAGCATCTGACTGGAGATACAGGGGTTCGATTCCAGCCTTCCTGTTACAGATTTGGTGTCGTTGACCACCCCTGGAATTGCAGGTTAAACTCCCGTAAGGGGGTAATAAGAACCTACGTTTTGTCATCGAGGGCAAAGACCATTTTAGGAGGGAGGCATGTAATGGTTTTGAGCCGTTGATATCGGCTTGGATAGCTCAGTTGTTAGAGCACCTGACTGGAAATACAGGGGTCCCGGGTTCGATTCATGGACCATTCATACATTTGCTCTCTTTCTGTTACAGTTTATTGGCTTAATACATAGGAGCTGAGGATAGGACTTTCAAATAAATAATGCATTTTCACTGTATGATCATTAAAGCCTAACACCAGAACCCCTTACCCAGGGGCCATGAAATTCACAATTTTGGAAGAGGCACCCTTTCTCTTCATAACTATATGTAAAGTGCATTGATATAATACCCAGATACAGAGGAGAACATTTTTTCAAACAATTCATACAGTTTCACATAATCATTAGAACCCCGCCCTAACAACAGAACTCCTGACCCAGGGGCCATGAATAACACAATTTTGGGAGGGATCTTAATTCTTATTACAATCATGCCAACGGTTTGACTGCTAGATGTCAAGGCGTAGAGAAGATTTTTAAAGATTTCATTAATTTTGACAGTTTTAGCCCTACCTCTCAGGCCCCAGGAGGACATGAATTTTATTACTTTTGTTCTCCTTTACCCAGAGATGCTATATACCAAAATTGGTTGAAATTTGTTCAGTGGTTCCAGAAAAGAAGCTAAAAAAATACAATTTTATGACCGATTGACGACGAACGATAACAGATGAAAAAGATAGCAATAGGTCACATAGTTACTCGGGTGACCTAAAAACGCTGAGGGAGTCAGCAGGATTTCAGTTCCCATGAAGCAAACCCATTTCCCTCAGCTTTGCGTTCCTCAACTTGCTGTTGGGGAACTGGAATCTTGATGACTCCCTCAATGATCCGCTTAAACTGTATCTTCAATCAGTCAATCAGTAATGGTGTACTTGATATCATATGACTATTACTGTATAAGTAGATTTTTTTTAGCGAGGATTTGATGTTGGGATTATTAGCGAGGGTGCCGAGATCGCTAAAATTGAATATCGCTAAAAATTAATTGCGTTTTATTTGTAATAGCTTATTTAATATGCATTTTAAAATCGCTAAAATAATATTAAAAATTACCAGTTTTTAAGGACAAATCGCTAAATTTGCGTCTCGCTAAAATTTTCACTTACACGGTATAACATTTATTAGCAAGACACCCATGGGCCTAAATGGTCACCTGAGCATCAAGAGTTTTTCAAGCTATATTCATTTTGAGCTAACTTGAGAATAGTTAAATAGACATTTACTTATACATTTTACAGTTTGATTAGAACTCTGTAATTGTTTTTGTATTATGCACCTAGCCCCATGTAAATTCGTGAGTAAATGAAATTAGCACTAACAAATTACATGACACCCTTCAAACTATTCTAAAGATTTTTTCTATTCCTACAAAAAATTTAATCTCCATTTTTCTCCTTTCCCTCTCCTTGGATGATTGAAAAAAAAAAGCTTGAATATGCACTACCTATGGATTTATACTGGAATATCATGACCTACCTTAAAATCTTCTATTCCAAATGAGTAGAATTTGATGATTTTTTTCTTGTATATTCATTATGTAAATATTTTAATCCCTTAGTGTGGCCCCATTCCTAGTGCCATGATTTGGAGAAGAAAAACTGAGTCTGGCAGTCTGCTCTACTTAAGAATGCTTCTATATCAAAAACACTGTCAATGACTCTGTCGTTCTTGACTTAAAAATTTTAAACCTAATTGATTCCAATTCAGGCCCCACCCAACCGCCAGGGATCATAATTTGAACACGAATGCACACTACCTGAGAATGCTTCCATATAAATGTGACAATTTATTGCTTGCTGTTCTTGAGAAGAAGATTTAAAATGATTTTCCCCATATATCCCATTGTAAATCTTTGATCATTCGTTGTGGTTTCAACTCACCCCCAGGGGATCTTAATTTGAACGAACATGAATATACACTACCAGCGGATGCTTCTAAATAAATATGATCATCTACTGCTCTGTTGTTCATGAGAAGAAAAAATCCTATAAATCTATAGATCCCTTAATGCTGCACCACCCTTCCCCGGGATAATGATATGAACAAGCACGAATCTTAACTACCTGAGGATGCTTCTATATACACGTGACCATTTTGGATTTGCGGTTCTTGTGAAGAAAATTGTAAAAACTTTGCTAAATATATATTCCTATGCAAAATGTTGATCTCCCATTGTGGCAATATCATACCCCAGGGGGCATCACCATGATTTGAATAAATTTGAATCTAAACTATGTCAGAAATCTTTCTTATAAGTTTCATCTCTTCCATCCAAGTGGTTCTTGAGATGAAGATTTTTAATGACCCAACCCTATTTTGTCTTTTCTTGATTATCTCCCCATGCGAGGGGGTATTGCTCTTCATTTGAACAAATATAAATTTCCTCCAGCCAAGGATACTTTGAGGCAAATTTGATGAAATTAGTCAAGTGGTTCTTGCGAAGAAGCTAGGAATGTGGAAAGATTATACACGACAAACACTGCACACTCGCACAAGGCACGCCAGCTGGGCGACGGACGAAGAGATAGCAAAACTAGTAGGTCTCAAGTGTGACTAAGGTGTCCTAAAAATTTAGAATTGCAACCATTACCTCTCATTTTCATCTCTGCATCCAGTTCAATAACAAGTCTCCCATTTATAATCTGTCCAGGAAAGAAAACCCCTTGCTGATTTTCAAGTTCGATGTAGAAAGCTCTCAATTTCCCCATTCTACAATAGTTCATGCAAAAAATAGATAAAAAAATAAAGAGATTGCTAAATTTTAAGTAATATAGTTGTGCCAGTACTAAAGTTATGAAAGTGAAAAAGAAAAGAGTATTTTGTAGAGTACAGCTGCATGTATTTGTGGTTTTCTGTAAAACTGTTTTGAGGCGTTTTATATAGCATTTTTAGTCTACTTGTTCCTTCTGTGTTCTAGTGATGACCAATTTAGATGTTGCAACATGCTGGAGACACTGCTAGTGTCATTATCTATGCGTAATAAATAACCAGTCCAACGCCATCTCTTGATTAAGCTGGTAGGCAGACATCTCAGCTCAATGACACCAGTCCACTTAAGATTATTTACATGTCGGCCCATGTATAAGACTCCTCGGCAAAGCAAAATTTTATAATAGAAAATTAAGTCCTGTGTCTGAATTGATTGAGGGGCAATATGAAAACCATCTATCCTTCTGGGTGTTCAATAAACCAGAAGTGAAAAAAGAATTGGATAGATTACACGATCAGTACGTACTGGTTCCTTCCGACAAAGCAGGTAACAAAATTGTCTTCGTTTGTAAGGCTCATTATATAAATTGCATACTAGAAGAACTTGTCACACCTTGATCAAATTATTCATTTCCAATAAATATACAATTATGGCAAAAAATTCAAAAAAAAATAATTTCTATAAAATTTGTTTTTGTTTCATTTCTTTTATAAATATGATGAAAGAACATGTTCTCCCCAGTTGTGACTGGTTTTAAGAAAATTTTAACCACAAATTTAAAAAATATTCACAAATTATGTGTTTTATTTTCAATTCTAGAAGTGGTAATCCTACTTATACTCATACTTCCCTTTCTAAGGAATAAATTCTTCAAAATCACCTGTCAGTTTTGAATACTTTTAATATTCCACAGAGCCAAAATGAATTTGAACTACCTTATATATATTGGATTTCGAAACTTCATAAGAGTCCTTACAAACAAAGATACATTGCAGCTTCCAGTAAATGTTCAACCAAGCCTCTTTCGTTACTCCTCAGCAAGATATTGACAGTAGTGAAAGAAAAACTTCAAGAGTACTGTGCAACTATATATTCAAGAAGTGGTGTGAATCAGATGTGGATACTAAAAATTTCTAAAGAACTTTTGGACAATTTGAAATCACAACACATTACAAAAATCAACAGCTTAAAAACTTGCGACTTTTCAACTTCATACACAACAATTCCCCACGACAAATTAAAATCCAGGCTTTTTTATATCATTGACAGCTGCTTCTTCAATAAAAATGGAACTCGTAAATTTACTTACCTCGTCGTTGATCATTTGCAAAATTATTTTGTTAAAACAGATTCTGATTGCACACATAAGTACTCTGAAGTTGACATCAAGAAGATGCTTGAGTTTCTGATTGACAATATCTATCTGGTTTTTGGAGACCAGGTATTCCAACAATCTATTGCAATTCCAATGGGTACAAATTGCGCTCCGTTATTAGCAGACTTATTTTTATATTCATATCAAGCAGAATTTATGCAAAATCTTGTGCGTGAAAAGAAGAAAACACTTGCGGTGGCCTTCAACTCGACATTTAGATGTATCGACGACGTATCGTCAATTAATAATGGTAATTTCCATTCCTACGTCGATACAATATATCCTGGTGAGCTTGAGATAAAAGATACCACAAAGTCCGACACTTCTGTTTCATACTTGGATATTTTACTTGAAAAAGACACTAATGATAATCTAATAACCAAGCTATATGATAAACGTGATGACTTTAACTTTTCTATCGTCAAGTTCCCTTACTTATGCAGCAATATACCTTCATCGCCTGCATACGGAGTATATATATCTCAGTTGATTCGATATGCAAGAGCATGCTCTACGTATGAACAATTTCTAAAACGCGGTAAATTATTGACAAGCAAGTTGATGAAACAAGAATATCAGCAGTCTCGTTTAAAGTCATCATTTCGTAAGTTCTATGGTCGATACAATGACCTTGTCAGCAAATACAATTTATCATTAAGTCAAATGCTGACTGACGTTTTTCATACCAATTGGTAGTCCATTATTTATACACTGAATTGACAACGGATTTTCCCGCTATTTCATGATAATGACAAGGAGCACACGGCGGGTGTGACCGGTCGGCAGGGGATGCTCACTCCTCCATGGCACCTGATCCCACCTCTGATGTTTCGTGGGTCCGTGTTTGCTCTGCTCTTATATTGTATTGTTTTATGGACTTTGAGACTGAATACTGTTCGTTATCTCCATATCCTTCTTGGTATTAATATTGATGTAATTATTCTTTCTGACGTTTATTAAAAAATTTAAATAAGTCAGCTTATGGACTGGGACTGGCGTGTTGTTGTCTATAAAAGAAAAAAATGTTCTATTTCTCTATATAAATCAGAACAGTCTTTAACTAGCATATCTATCTTTTGTGGAAAATGAACTTTATATATAGTTTATATACACTTCAGAGAAACTCGTAATATACGAGGCCTTTTCAATTAATAATGTCCGGAACTTATGACATACAGCATATATATCATATGACATTAAGCTTGACTTTCTCTGAAGATTGAATCCTTAATTAATTAATATCAGTTTATATGACCACTTTTCATCTCATATTTTCATTGTGAGAAGCTGGAAAACAAGAGCTATTCGAGACACTGCTTTAAAAATGAATGCAAAAAAAATCAGGAAACTAGAGTAAAAAATAAACGCTTCATTTGAGCAGCTGTAAAATTTGATAAGAATCCCAAGGAAATATTCACCGAAATTTTTGAAATTTACAGCAGTCAATGTCTGTTTTTCCAGACACATGAGCAGGAGGATTTCAATAACGATATTATGGGCATCAAAAATGAGTACCGTCCTTGGCGACAGGGACTTACAACAACCAAAGTTCTATTTGCCAAAATTCAACAAATTATCACTTATGACGTTTTGTTGACTTAAAAACTTATAGTAAATTTAATAGGCATCAATTTAGGGGTAGTTCACACTATTTCAAAGAAGTATTTGACAGTAAATAAGCTAAGTACTCAATGGTTCCCTATGTTTTGAAAACTGAGTGAAAACGACAGCGTGTAAGAATATCTGAACAATTATTTAAAAATCAGAAATTGTAGCTATCCACGTTTTTCTGAAATTCAAACAGATAATGAAACTTGAATCCATTGCTTTATTGCCCTCAAAACATTTTTACGATAAGATGCACTTAATTGCCAGAAACAGCCAAGGTCTGAGAAGAGCAAAGAATTGCAAGAGAACAAAGACAGTTTTATATGCCAATTTCATAAATATTAGTGGTCTTGTTGTTCAAATTATAATACGGGAAGGCAGTTCAATTTCTGCATGAGTCTAGAAAGCAAATTCTTGCAAAAAAAATCGAAATGTTCATGAGAGTAAGGAACTAGAACAAGGAATTCACTACAATAAATTTCTCCGTGACAGCGTCCGAACCCACACGCCATGGAGAGTTTTTGGGACAAATCCAAAAGTAATATTTTGTCACACAATATTAATATTTGCCAGATCTGTCACACTTTGATTTGGTTAATTTTCCAAACTTAAAAAAAACCTATCAGAAAGAAGAAACAAGTCAAGGAAATCATAGAATCCGGCATAATCCAGTATACGAAGGGCCATACTTAAAATGAGTTCTAAACACAATCATTGAAAAGCGTCTCTTGCTTCTTTCTGAGCACTGAAGACATTATTCATTGAACAGCCCTCGTATAAGCATACTGCCAATTAGGATATGTAAGATATGGAGATAACGAACAGTACTCAAGATCAAAGTATATAAAACAATACAAAATATTAGCAGAGCAAACAGGAACCTCCAAAACATCAGAGGTGGGATCAGGTGCCATTGAGGAGTGAGCACCCCCTGCCGACAGGTCACATCCGCCATGTGCTCGTTTTCATGATCAGGAAATAACGGAAAATCCCGTCGTCAATTCAGTGTATAATTGATGGACAAAAAATTAGTATGAAAAAAGTCAGTCAGCAATTGACTCAATGATAAATTTTTTTGCTGACAAGGTCATTGTATCGACTATAGACCTTACGAAATGATGACTTTAAACGAGACTGCTGATATTCTTGTTTCATTGAGACATTGGCTCAGGTGAACTTATAATATGTATTATATATATCTTTTGTCACTCAATTTTGAATTTACCGTATCAAAATTTACATGACAAAGTTGTCTGTAGTTGGAGGTTTTGTCATGTTCTTAATTTTGAATTTACCGGGTGGGAGTAAATACAAAATTTACATGACAAAGTTGTCATGTTTTAGATCTTGTATTTACTCCCACTCGCGGTAAATACAAAATGCCTATGCTACACTTAAATATATTCATTTATATAACTGGTATGACATAGAAAAATACATGAAAAAAATTAAGTAAAGTAAAGCATATATAAGAGAAAAGAATTTACAAAGTCTGAAAAATCAAAAGCGAAAGTATGCTTTTAAACGATCATTTCTTAATAATCTTTAAAAGATACATTTTCCTTTCATAATATTTAAGAGAACCTAAAATATCTAAAACGTCTGTATCTCACATCCTGAAGTGATTTTATCACCGAAAAAGTTATCGAACAGGTTCAATTATTTATCATACCTAAAATTTGCAAGAATATTGACCAAGCCATACACATTTTAATATGGTCAATATTAACGCACTTTTAAAAGATGTTTTATTTTTTCGAAGTGCGTTGACATGGTCCCAAATTTTTACGAACTTTAAAATAAATTCAAAGTGCGTAATTTTTCAATTGCGTTGTAACAACACGTAATATCAAATATCTTTTTGTTGGTTTTGTAAAAAAATTTCCTGAGTATTTCATACATAATGAATACCCATCTCATATTTTTAAAAACCCTCTTTTGTCATAATGGAGTCTCAAATTTAGTTTTAACACCCATTCATGCACAAAAATAAATTGGACGTAAGGTGAAGAAAT